AAGGCTAAAGAGGTTTTTGTGGCATTTATAGATTTTGAAAAGGTGTATGACAGGGTGGATAGGGGGGCAATGTGGCAGATGTTGCAGGTGTATGGTGTAGGAGGTAGGTTACTGAAAGCAGTGAAGAGTTTTTACGAGGATAGTGAGGCTCAAGTTAGAGTATGTAGGAAAGAGGGAGATTATTTCCCAGTAAAAGTAGGCCTTAGACAAGGATGTGTGATGTCACCGTGGTTGTTTAATATATTTATAGATGGGGTTGTAAGAGAAGTAAATGCGAGGGTCTTGGCAAGAGGCGTGGAGTTAAAAGACAAAGAATCACACAAAGTGGGAGTTGTCACAGTTGCTCTTTGCTGATGACACTGTGCTCTTGGGAGATTCTGAAGAGAAGTTGCAGAGGTTGGTGGATGAATTTGGTAGGGTATGCAAAAGAAGAAAATTAAAAGTGAATACAGGAAAGAGCAAGGTTATGAGGATAACAAAAGATTAGGTGATAAAAGTTTGGATATCAGATCGGAGGGAGAGAGTATGGAGGAGGTGAATGTATTCAGATATTTGGAAGTGGGCCCTGTCAGCGGATGGGTCTATGAAAGATGAGGTGAATCATAGGAATGATGGGGGGGAAAAGGGTGAGCGGTGCACTTAGGAGTCTGTGGAGAAAAAGAAACTTTGTCCTTGGAGGCAAAGGGGGGAATGTACGAGAGTATAGTTTTACCAACGCTTTTTATATGGGTGGAAGCATGGGTGAGGAATGTTGCAGCGAGGAGAAGGCTGGAGGCAGTGGGATGTCATGTCTGAGGGCAATGTTTGGTGTGAATATAATGCAGAGAATTTCGTAGTTTGGAAGTTAGGAGGAGGTGCTGGATTACCAAAACTGTGGTCCAGAGGGGCTGAGGGGGTTGTTGAGGGTGGTTCGGACATTGAGAGAGATGGAGCAAAACAGAATGACTTCAAGAGTGTATCAGTCTGTAGTGGAAGGAAGGCGGGGGAGGGGTTTGGCCCAGGAGAGGTTGGAAGGAGGGGGTAAAAGGAGTTTTTTTGTGCGAGGGGCTTGGACTTCCAGCAGGCATGCGTGAGCGTGTTTGATAGTGAATGAAGACAAATGGTTTTTAATACTTGACGTGCTGCTGGAGTGTGAGCAAAGTAACATTTATGAAGGGATTCAGGGAAACCGGCAGGCCGGACTTGAATCCTGGAGATGGGAAGTACAGTGTCTGCACTCTGAAGGAGGGGTGTTAATGTTGCAGTTTAAAAACTGTAGTGTAAAGCACCCTTCTGGCAAGACAGTGATGGAGTGAATGATGGTGAAAGTTTTTCTTTTTCGGGCCACCCTGCCTTAGTGGGAATCGGCCAGTGTTATATCCCAGTGTTATATGCGTCCATCCCAACTATTATTATCACCATCATCACTGTCCTCACTATCAATACGACCATCACCACAACACCCACTCTATCACTAGGATCATCACCACAACGCCCCCACTATCACACCATCCTCACCACCGCTATCATATGCCTGTGTACATGCACTCAGTGGCCACTTTATTTGGTACACGTATACACCTGCTTGTTAATGCGAATATCTAATTAGCCAATCACCTGACAGCACCTCATCGCCTAAAAGCATTCAGACAAAATCAAGAGGTTCAGTTGTTGTTCAGACTAAAGCTCAAACTGGAAAGAAATGTGATCTGAGTGACTTGATCGTGGAATGGTTGTTGGTGTCAGACGGGGTGGTTTAGGTATCTCAGAAACTACTGATCTGGGATTTTCACGCACAACAGTCTGTAAAGTTTACCGAGAATGGTGTGAGAAACAAAACATCCAGTAAGCAGCAGTTCTCTGGGGAAAAAAAAAAAAAAACTTGAAACTGAGAGAGGTCGGCAGAGAATAGCCAGACTGGTTTAAGCTGACAGGAAGGCAACAGTAACTCAATTAATCAAATGGTGCAACAGTGGTATGCAGAAGAGCACCTCTAAATGTACATGTAGAACCTTGAAGTGGAAGGGCTAGAACAGCAGACCACACAAGGTTCCTCTCCTGTCAGCTAAGAACAGGAAACTGAAGCTACAGTGGGCACAGGCTCACCAAAATTGGGCAGTTGAAGACTGGGAAAATCGTCACCTTTTCTGACGAACAGAGATTTCTGCTGCGACATGCAAATGGTCGAGTCAGAATTTGCAAAAACTTTTGGAATGTGGTGGAACAGGGGATTCGTAGCAGGAATGTGCAGCACCTTGGTGAATCCATATCACAAAGAATTCAGGATCTTCTGGGTACAAAGGAGGCTTTACCCAGTACTATAAAGGTGTACTTAATAAAGTGGTCACTGAGTACGTGATTCTATAGATTTATGCATATACAGAAAACAAAATTAGTTTATCATTCAGTAACACCTGAGATTATAGTGCTGATCAAAAGAGGAAATCAGTTTCGGGAATGATCTATGTAAAATTATGCAGAGAACACCTCCACCTGTCACCTGCCCTACTAACATTCACCTACGAATACTTAACTAGGGTTTTAAATTTGAAGCTGATTGGATAAGCTGTTCTAAAGTTATAAACGATAACCTTAGACTGTATGAGCAAACTGTAGAGAACTTCTACTGCACGTGTAAGTTCTGTCAAGCACCTTAACTACTGGGAACGCTTGGAAGCACTTGACTTGTACTCGTTGGAACGCAGGAGGGAGAAATATATCATAATCTACACCTGCTGGGAATGGGTCAATAACTTTGGCCACAGAGAACCTGCGCATTCCAACTGTGCCGAGAATGTTGTCCTCGTTACTGTACATGAGCGTCGAGAATTTGTATTTGATAAGAGGTTCTCAAGTTACAAAAGAAAATCGAAACGTTACAAGAAGGGAAAAAATCAAGCAACCTTTTAAAGGTCCCTTTTCGAGGATACCTAATAATTAGGTGTATTTCGGTAGCTACGTGATCTCAGAAAGGTATCCCCGTATTCCATATGCCTTGAAATGAAAAAAAAGAGGGTAGCGCTCGCTAGACTCTCACATAAAGACTAAAGTTATCTTATTTACGTATAAGCAATTAGTGCTTCTGACACTATGTTTACAAGAGATACCACAGACCTGTTCTGAAGATAACACACTCAACAGCCCCTCGTGTTTCCCCAGGAAACAATGGTCTAAAACTATCGTCTCCAGGATGGACTATCGTCTCCAGGATGGAACTATCGTCTCCAGGATGGACTATCGTCTCCAGGATGGACTATCGTCTCCAGGATGGACTATCGTCTCCAGGATGGACTATCGTCTCCAGGATGGACTATCATGTCCTTGAGGGGCTATCGTGTCCCTATGTACACAGGTGTAGATATGGCCTGCGGTAATGTGATTACCACTTGGGAACAAGCAAAAGATAAGAGAATAACTGAATTATATTTCCTTCACCAAAAACTGATACAGTGTATTATAGCTATTGTACAGTATTTATACTGTGTTACAATGAGGCAAAAGCAAGCATAAGACACGGTGAGCGGCCAGCAGAGAAAGCAAGTCTACCAAAGTTGTGTCCACACGTGTACCACATCACTTCACAGCTTTGGACGGTTTCCTTGTGAGTGGTTGGTTGAATCAAGGTACTGGTATAATGACGGGGGCCCCTGGATCGTTAAACCCTTAGCACCTGGTTCGCTGGTCAGGATGCATGCTTATATGGGTGTGACATTGGCCAAATAAAACGGAATATACTCTTTATGCCACAGTCCTAGATGGACTATTGTGTTCAGGATGGAATATTATGTCCAAGACTATTGTGTCCTTGATGAAGTATTGTGTCCTGGATGGACTGTCTCCAGGTTGGACTACTGTGTCCAGGATGGACTATTGGACCCAGAACGTACGCTCACAGTATTGTTCAGCCACATTTTTATTCCAACCACTATTTTGCTGGAATCATCACATTGTCCCAGCCACCAGATTGTTCAATCCTTCACATTGTTTCATGCACAGCATTGTTCCAACCACTGTATTGTTCTATCCACTGTTCTGTTCCATCCACAATATTATTATAGCCTACGTATTCCAGAAACATTTTTGTTTCACTTACGTGGTATTGTTCCAGCCACGGTATTGTTCCAGCCACGGTATTGTTCCAGCCGCGGTATTGTTCCAGCCACGGTATTGTTTCAACTACATATTGTTGCAACCACGGTATCGTTCCAGGTACGGAATTATTTCGGCCACCGTATTGTTCCAGCCACGGCATTGTTCTAGTCACCGTATTGTTCCAGCCACGGTACTGTTCCAGCCACGGTACTGTTCCACCCACGGTACTGTTCCACCCACGGCATTGCTCCAGCCATAGTACTGTATTAATGTTGGTAGAATTACCGACAATATGTTAGGTAAAAGGACACAAGTGCAACTAATGTGAGATTTTATTGAGGCAACGTTTCGCTCTCCAGGAACTTCACCAAGCCGTTACAAACAATAAAATATCACATTAGTTGAACTTGTGCCCTTTTACCCAGCCATAGTATTGATTCAGTAGCCATACTATGATTTTTATTCTTTAATATTCTTGCTCTTATGTCCACCGTACCTCTGGCTACTCACATTAATATTCTTTTCAAAGAGGAACAAAGTTCGTGGATTTATAATAGCAAATATAATACAACCATATACAACTTGACACTTACAAGCCAAAACTACGATACAAAAAAAAATAATCACAGAGAATAACAAAAGTACAGCAACAAATGTACTATCACACTGAATTAAAATTTATTTTGAGAGGTACTAACAGAAGATGTAATATCTATGTGACTCTGATGGGTTAGTCTTATATCCCTTATAGAATATCTTATCATTTCACGTGCACTTTTTAAATTACACCAAAGTGGTTGGGCCACTTACCTTTTATATCCTACCTCTCTCCCCCCTCCCACCCTTTTCCAAAATTTCTATCCTTACCCATCCTTCTTCCTTACCCATCTCACCAAAGCTCTGGTCTGGACGAGAAACGAGGTACTAACCTGGTGCATTGTGCTGCGAGTCGGCTGTGGACGGTACGCCGTGTTGATGATCCATGCTGACAGCTGCTTCAGGTCAGGTAAGTCAAGTCAGGTGCTCACACTCAACCTCTCATCCACACGACCTGGCTCCCGCT